ATATGTCTCGGATGTCCTGAAACCCTGATTCTTAACACGAGAACTCGCTGAGTGCGCCGTGCGTTAACTTCTGTTTTGACTGAGCGGCCCAATTATGCGGCAACCCTGACGGGATCTGTTTCCCAAGTTTGGAGATTTTTCCTCGACCCATGGGACCCATTCCCCGGCCAAGTACCGCTTTATACAGCCCCTTATTGTAAGGGATACACTGATGCCGCTCCAGCTCTACCTTTTTTTTTTATAGAACTTCCAATGAATGTAAGAAATATGCGTGAGGGCTATAATCAAAGGAGAGCGCGGTCAATGTAAGAGAGTGGCCTTGCTCTTGCACATAAAAGGCACATAATGGAATCAACCGCTAGAACTTAGAGATTCAGTTCTGTAAAATTATGGCTAGTATAGAATAGTTTAGTACTGAGCTTCCGACCAAGATTGTCAATAGCTTTATTTGGCCGGTGGACCTCTCTTTCCAGCATCTCTAAAGGCTCTGAAGAAGGTGAAAGCACCGAAACGTCGGCCAAATAAAGCTATTGACAATCTTGGTCGGAAGCTCAGTACTAAACTATTCTATTCTGAAAATATGCCAAGATTCATACAAAGTCGAACTTGGACACATATGGCTTAGTATATTTCCACTTGATTTCTGTATAGGCGCGCGGGGAATGTGTGCAATGATCATCTAGGCCTTCCGAAAATGAGTACTTTAATGCGTTTTTTTTTGGCAGGGCATTACAAGCATTAATTCTTGATACGGAAAAGAGAGTTGTCGCGGTTGGGAGCGCCACGAAATTAAAATTAATGGAACGCTGCTTAAGTGAAGATAAGCGAGAGATTACGATAGTGTGTGTGCAGCAAGGAAGTACTTGCACTACTGGAAGCAGTAGGGCGGGCGCCTAAGGGGCGAGATCTAGCCCTTCCGTGGCCAAAGACGCGCTAGTTGCAGCGCCTTGGGGCTGCCAGTCTTTTCTTGAGCTTGCCACCGCCTGTGCTCCGTCGCACCAGTGTGTTGCCAGCTGTATCATCGTTCGTTTATCATTTTGATGAGGTATTCCACTTCGAAGTACGCATCCTACAACTTTTCCATGGAATGCGTTATCAATCAAGGCTTGGTCTTTGCTGGTATTATGGATGGATCGGTTTAACATGTGCAAACGACCTCTAGTTGGTTGCTAGCTCGTCCATTATCGGAGGTCAACGGGCAAAGAAAGGGGTCCCATTTTGCGCCTTCTTGACGGATTTCTTTGCTTTTTTCGCCACTGGGGCATTATTCAGCATCTCCACTTCCACTATGAACCCAGTCCAAACTTATCGTAATCCCTCGCTTTGAATGCAAACGTTGCACAACTTCCCGTATTCTCTCTCAGCAGAGTTCCTTCAAAAGTGACAGTGGTACGGAAATTTATAGGGCAGAAGTGGTGTTGAGCAAGTGGCACTGCTCTACAGTGTGGGGTGACGGGATGGAACGTCGGGTCAGTGCATTGTACTAGCCAACCAAGCCTTTCGGACCCCCCGTTCGATGTCGCGTTAAGTTGGTACCAGACCATTGCCTGGGCAGGATAAAAACACTACCTCTATCCATTCAGCTGACGCGCCCCGCGAAGTCATTGATAGGCAAATCACAATCTGTAAATGTCACGCGAATGCATGAATGGGAGTAAGAAATTGACGGCCGACAATCCCAAAAGGGCAGTTGAATCAACGCAAATGCGTTTTTCATGTTTATTCGTGTCAGGATAGCGACGGAAAAAATATGCTGCCACTGGCAAAACAAGTACTAAGCTCATGACTTTATTGATCAGTTTAATTTTTTCGCATTTAGTTTATTGCCCAGAATTTTTATTTAATTATTGACATATTAATTTTCCATTCTTTCAAGAATTACCGGCAAATGCGGATTTTGAAATCATTAGATTGGTTTGTTTCAGGACTGTTGTGGGCAATCATGCTGTCCGTGTGTTTTCGATATGCATCACGAAGACGTGATTCGTTGGGCCAAGGATTGCGCTAAGCGAATACCTTGTGAAGGTTCGTTAATACAGTTCTCGGATGTTAGGTACAATAGCGGAAAGTGTTCGCCGTAATAATTCTGCATTACATTTTTTCTATTCAAAAAGCTCTAAAGATCACCAGAAGATTCTACGGATGCCTTGGATCTTTGAAGATCAAGGATTCATAACGTCCGAGAGAAAACATATCATTATTTAGAGTGAACTGCTTAAGTGAATGACCTCGAACAGCACAATTTTAGTTGGTTCAACAACACAGGAGGTTTATGATGGCTTAGCCGGGCAAAGGTTCGATGATTCCGCCTCCTTCGGACCCCGAAAAGGTGGAAACCAATTTATGACTCATTCGGGCCAAAATGTCTCACTGAAACGATGAAATGCGAAACTAGTACGAACTACATATTCAGCCGCCTCAATTTTCTGCTCTCGCTCGCGGTTTCTTACTTGAGTACGATTATGTGGCCAGCCTCGGGCTAAAATTGGCTGTACAAGAGCGCTTCCTGGGTGACGGTCGAGCTGCAGAGTGAACTGTTAGTGAAGAAAGCAAGCGAAACCGTCGAAAACGTTAAAATTGAGGGCCTAACTTAGAAAAAACTAAAGTTTAGATGACGATGTTGTCCGACGGCAGCGGACAGATTCACAACGAGAAGGCGCGAACACGCCGACGCTGAATCTTACATCAATCCTTGTGGGTTGAGGCGATGGTTGCTAGTCCTCAGCGATAAGCCCCTGACCGCGCCACTTTTTGCGAGGGAACTGGCACGACCACGACCCAACAAAAGCACTCGCGGCCTGGTTCCTATTACTGACAACGAGCTCATTCCCGAGGCTCGCCTTCAAAGCAGCAACCACAGATCAGATTGGTGAGCTAACAACGTTCGATAATGATGTGGATGCGGAGTTCACTGAAGAAAAAAAAGAAGCAAAGCAAACCATCGTTGAAGAACTCCCTCTCTTCTCCTTGAAATGGACGAGTTGACTGATTCTAGTCATTCCACGGCTCTATTAATCCGCGCATTTATGGATTAGCTTATTGCCGTAATCCACATTGTCATGGCAAGTGCGCGATGTATCTCGTCCTTTAGCTCAAATGAACCGTCATGACCTCACTTTGTAGAGCCTAGCGCCATTGTCGCGCACTTTCGAGCCGCGACAATGGCAATCTGTGATACTCGCGAGCTACTCTATCCTACCCACAGAATCGATTGTTCGACACTACCTCACCTGGGATTGTTGCTTTGAAGTTTCACAGTCCTACCGAGGAAGGCTAGGGCGGAAATGGACGAAGGAGGGCTTCGGTCCCAGCATAGAATAGAACAGTCTTTCGAAACTGTCAAGAAAAGGGAGCACAGACAGCTAGGCACAAAAACGCGACTCGAGTGGTCCAGATATTACCGCGAATTTTTTCGCGATCTGGGTTGTACAGTCGGCTTATACCTGCGAGCACATCAGTGCTTACTTATGAGAAAAAAAGGAAAATTTGTTCAGGCTCCGTTTCGCTGTATGCTCACCTCTACCCTTCTCACATGGATGACAGCAATGAATCGATGGACGACGTTTTCTCAAAAGAGGAGTACAGGTGATGCAACCGATTACTTAATCATTGAAAAAAAAAACTAAGAAATAGAATAGAAAATACGGTGCGGTGTCAATGGAGATCATCCGAACACCACTGCCCTACTACTTACCACTACCCATTATTCAAGATTTCTTCATTTTATTAAGCTAGGAATTTCACTACCCGCCATCATTTGCGGTTTAACTTCTGAAAGGCACCTCTGCGTTGCTTTAACGTGTAAACTCTGACGCGGAAAAAGTCTCGAAATTCGATGGGTCTTAATCAGTGAAGCCACAACAACGATTCATGAATCGGAGTACCCACTACCGTAGCACCACTACGAAATCACAAAACAGATAGAAAAAAGATATAAATGGTTAGAAAAAGTTAGTAATTAGGTAGTTGGAACGGGGTGTGGTTCACTAGGACAGAAAGCGACTTTTTCGCGTTTCGCAGCGCGAAACATTTTTCGCTGCAGGAACCTCAGGTCCACCGCTGATCATGAGTGGACCTGGGTTCCGCAGCGAAAATGTTTCGCGCGAAACGCGAAAAGTCGCTTTCTGTCCTAGTGAACCACACCCGTTGAAACGGGTCCTAGTTCCTGATGTAGGTATGTCACACGCGGATAAGATTCTAGAGCTAATATCTCAAAGGTTACGAAGAGTCGTATTGTGTTACAGACACTCGCATGTTTTTAGCTTTTACTATGTTAATATGTTTCCTTATACCTTTTGCAGGAAGTTCCTCATACTTGACGTCACACCTCTTTCACCCGACACCAACCTTTATAAATTTGAGATCTCCAAAGGGAAAATCAATCTGCCAATTGCATGTCATCTTCGTACCAGGTACGACTACTAGTTTTCAATCTAATCTCATAGGGACCGGACCACATAAGGCATAATAAGGATTTATTATGCCACCCTAGCGTATCAAGTCATAAATACGCTTCATTTCATAGAATTCCGTCACATTCAATACCAAACAAAACCATACTATAATGGAGTAAATTAACAAGCCTACAGAGTGACCAGCGAAACAATTCGACTCGTTACAAAATAGGGTACTTTCTTCAAAAGTTGGTGGCTCCCAGACAATACCTAACCATTTGGGCGCGGCCGCGGCGAACGCGGCCGAGTCGATTGTGCCCGCGAACCGTTGAAAACGCACTCGAGGTGCCCGCGAACTGTGCTGTGCTGAGTTCGCGGGCACCTATCAACTCGGCCGCGTTCGCCGCGGCCGCGCCCAAATGGTTAGGTATTGTCTGGGAGCCCCAAAACTTTTTTGGTTGTGGTATGGACCAGCGCGTGCACTTTGAGAGCAACGTAACCGTACAAATTGGAAACAAAAATACATGCCTAGTGGCAGTTTATCGTACTGTCCATCAAGAACAAGATCCAAACAAAAACAAGAATAAACTAGCGCCAAAAGAGCAGCTAAGCAGCAATCTGTTTTGGTGAAGAAGAAGGCGATGAACCCTAAAATGTATTACAGACTGAGATCACTTCTTTCATAGCGAGAAAATAAGGAGGAAAATGGAACCAAAGCAAAACGCAATGTAAATAAATAGAACTCTTAGTAGGCTGTAGGAAATTGAAATTAGTGGAGAAATTAGCGCGACACACATACCTCCGCTATCCGTTTTTCGGCGTCATATAAACTTTTCTTGTAATGTCCACGTTCTATTGGGTGACCTCGTGAGAACTCGAACACTAGAATTCACACTGTACACAGAAGATTCCAGGTTTATAAACCAAAAGCTTGTATTAGTCAGGCATTGCTTACAGTTTACTCAGAACAGAACAAAGAAATGAAAAATCGGTGATGTCCACTTCGCTCCTTATTAATCATCATAAAAGAAAAGGAAAGCGGTGAAATGGCACACAAATAAACTGGCTTGAGGCTGGTGTCAAAATTCGCGATCCGTCGCGCGATTCGCGCGAATCGCAAAAATCGCAAGTGCCCATTGAACATTTGAAACACTGAATATGAAACAAGTAGAATCATGAACAGTCGTCATTCAACCATCACCATCAAGCAGAAATGGGGGATTGGAGAGCACCTCGCAGTATTGATCGGGGCACTTGTGATTTCTGCGATCCGTCGAGGGAATCGCGCGGCGGATCGCGGACTCTGACACCGGCCTAGAACCTATCGAAATGTATCTACGTGGGGGAGGGGGGGGGTCGCCGATTCACCCTTTACGTCAATGTGAATCAGTCCACGGAAGGTATCTCGTAATTTCGCTGACTAGTGAAGCGCCACTCATAAGCAAACGATAAGCGGAGCCTTTGCAATAAGTTGGTTTTCATATAAATTGATGTACTAGAACTCACGCGATATGGCACGTTCAGCTGTCCAACCCATTCTGTCAATAAGATACCGACATATCAAGTAGCCAGTACGATTCAGGCCATGCGTGCAGTGGACGCCAATTAACTTGTCGCCTTAAACGATAAACAGTGTAACACTTGAAGAAACAAAGAAAGTTGAACTTCGGAAATATCAGTTAATAGCTGGTGTCTGGGCATAAGAAACCATGCCGATCATCTTAATAATTATTTGCCTTCAGTTATTTGAGATTAGGAAGCTAAGGAACAGGATTGATATTCAAGGCATTTCGCATTCAAGACTAGTGCAAAATTAGTGACAAAATCTCGGTGACCTTAATAAAAAAAACTCGTCAACACTGGGCTCTTGCTGCTTTTATTTTGATGCCATGTATGGTACAGAGTATTACATCTGCAATTGCGACTGGAGTGTCAGCGGGAAATAAAGTGTAGATGAGTGCAAGAATCATGAAGCACCTTAAAAGTGCTGTTTTTTGTTCTAGCGCCACTCGAGAAAATTGAAAATATTTAAGATTAAAAACGAAAAAAAAGAAAACGGAATGAAAAAAGCATACCGTTACTGGAGTCGCTGATGAACTCATCAACGACATTCAAAAAGCTCTTTACGATGTCCTCGCGGTTACTGACCTCATGTC